CACTGCAGGAAGAACACGGATACGCATTAACACTATGTGATTAATTCTACTGCAAATTTCCTGACTCGTATAAGTGAACTAGACTAACTTTCATAGTTTCCTGAGATTGTCAGAATGAACAAGAGTCAAAACGCACTGATCACTACTGACCCTTTGTCTTTTACCATATCTTGTGACACTGGTAGGAACATATGTGTTCTATTAATTTGTTTGCGAGGAACTAAGACTCCATCAGCCTCTTCCAGGAGGGCTAAGTCCCTCAGAGGGCCGAAGGGGGCAGAGAGGACTGAGAGATACCTCCTCTACTGGAGAATTTTCTCCACACTTGGGGGCAGGCAAAGTGAGCCGTTGGTGAATTATTCATCTCTTAATATTATTTCAATTTTCTCACTCACCACCGCTGCTGATTTTCTTTTCTTAACAACTTTATTCTATGGAATTTCTGGAGAATCACTAAGTTTGTTTTCAACACTGTGTAATTCTAATGGCACTAGTTTATCTATTGTCCACTTGTTCACTGCACCTTTACCATCAGTGTCAATAATCATTATGTTACTAGGTCTTAAGGACATATGATTTACAGGAACACCAGCTCCATAGAAGTGTTTTCTCATTGAGGTGAGATAGTTTTCTCTCCAATCACTTTATTCAGGTGTTTGAATTTATACCTGATTTGCTCAGGTTCGAGGTAAGTAGGATCCTCCATGATTTCTTTATCATTCATGGGAGGAACAGGTTCGAGCCTTCTGCCATAGAGTAAATGAGATGGACTTAACACTTCCAAGTTGTCCGGATCATCGGTAACAGAAGTTAGATGTCTGTTGTTGACTCTATTTTCTACTTCAGTTACGACTGTTCGAAATTCTTCTAAGTCGATTCGCTGACGATGAAGAGTCTTCCTTAAACAACGTTTTACGATGCCGATCATTCTTCATATAATCCGCCGTGCCATGGAGATTTAGGAGGAACGTATCTCCAACGAAAACTGCCTTGATTCAGCATCTGTTGTACTTCTGGTTGATCAAAGATCTTGCTTATATAAGCAGCACCAGCAACAAAGTTCGTTGCATTATCTGAAATCATCAGTCTGGGACATGCCCTTCTGGCTGCAAACCTTCTGAATAATCTGATAAAGGTTTCAGCAGACATGTCAGTGGCTACTTCTAGATGTACTGCTCTAGTTGTAGCACAAGTGAACAAACAGATGTACACCTTGATGGGAACTTTGTCAACTGTTTTGGTTAAAATTATTGGTCTAGTGTAATCTACACCTGTCACCCCATATGGAGTGACATGACAAACTCGCTCAGCGAGATATGGAGGTGGACCTGGATACTGACATACTCGCATATTTTGTCTACCTTGAGGTATCCAGTAGGATTGTCGTATATGACAAAGTGTGTCAGCTACCCCACCATGTAACACGTTACTGTGGGAGTTTTTAACAATCAGGCTTGTTAGCCAATGATTTTGGGGGATCAATATTGGATGTATGGCTTATTTAGGTAGTAAAGAATTGTAAATTCTTACGCAAATATCCCGCACATAGAAGAGAGGAGTTTACGACGACGTTTCGGTCCGACTTGGACCATTTAGAAAGTCAGTGTGACTTTGTAAATGGTCCAAGTCGGACCGAAACGTCGTCGTAAGCTCCTCTCTTCTATGTGCAGGTTATTTGTGTATCGTTCCAGTCACGGTATTGTGCCCTTTTTTTTGTTATTTGTAAATTCTTCCTCGACATCTTATAATCTTTTCAGAGTCGAGATAAAGTCCCAAAGAATTAATCAAATTAGGTTTCTTTGGGGATTTATCCTGAGTTTCCAGAAGTCTTTTCTCTGTAGAGAAGACTCTTTATGTATTTGTTTTACCCAATACTTGATGTATCTAGGAAATTCATAATTAGGCTTTGTCCTTTCAATAAATTTGAAGATAGAACTATAACTCTTAAGAGTTTACCCAAAGATGAGAATTTAGATCCATCAATGGCTATTTTTGGTGTGTCTGCTGTATTTAAGTTGATTATTTCTGCTGTGTTCAAACAGATTGTTTCCTCTGCCATTATGTGAACTTTTTGCTGAGGCCAGTTATTTTCGTTAGAAAGCCAGTTCGGTCCGTGGAGCCATAATTTATTATCCACAAATTTCTTGAGTGGGACACCACGTGACAACATGTCAGCTGGATTCTCTTGGGTAGAGACGTAGAGAAAGAGATAATCACTCTGCATCTCTTTTATTTCTGCTACTCTGTTCTGTTCATAGACCAACTTACTCTAATTATTTCTTAACCACTGGAGAACTGCTTCATTATCACTCCAGATCACGGTTTTTTCAATAGTGAGATGATCAAGTACCTGAATTTCAGCACCCATATCCAGCATATAGCCAAAAAAGTATCCAAAACGGTTGGGATCCTTTCCAAGATACGATACTACGTGCCGCAAAATGCCCTTCTCACACTATACCACTCACTTATTTATCCATACCTCACCTATGCTATTTGTGCTTGGGGATCAACAGCAGCAACACACCTAAAGCCAATAATAACCCAACAAAAAGCTGCAGTAAGAATAATCACTAAATCCCATCCCTGGCAGCACACCCCCCCCACTCTTCAAAGATCTAAACTTACTCCCAGTTCAGTACATCCACACTTACTACTGTGCAATCTATATCTACAGGGCCTTAAACTCTAATATCAACCTTGACCTAAAACGCTTTCTTGATAGTTGTGACAGAACCCATAGTCATAACACCAGACACAAACATCTCTACGACATTCCCCGTGTCCGACTAAACCTTTACAAAAATTCAATGTATGTCAAAGGCCCTAAAATATGGAATACCCTACCTGAGAACTCTAGAACTGCAGACACATTCATCACCTTCAAAACTACCATTAGAAAACATCTTATCTCCCTGATACACCCCGTCAACTAACTACACGAATACCACCTGGTGGTTCACACTTACACTCGCTCACTCATTTGACCATAAACAGAAATATTAATCTCAGTCTTAAAATAATGAATCCTGTGATACTCCAATACTGAAACTATATACTGTGCCAAAACAAAAGCATTCACATTGCTAAACTCATAAACTAGTATTTAGTCACTTAGCCATAATACCAACTTACCTCATAATTTGTAATATTTTACATTTAAGAATAAAACTAAGTATGCCCGAAATGCCTAGCCATGCTAAGCGTTCTAGTGGTACACTCTGTAATCACAATTTTACTACATGTAAACCAAACAATAACCAAATTTCTGTAAACTCAGCATTGTAATCCTTATAGAGAATAAACTTTGAATTGAATTTGAATTGAATTGAATTGCTGAGATAGCTAATTTTATACCTACATAGAGCGCTGTCAGTTCCAATTGTGGTACTGTTCTGACCTTCAAGGGTGCTACCCTGGCCTTTGAAGTAATTAGTGTACTTCCTTCAGCATTACTCATGTAAGCTACAGCGCCATAACCTCTGGTTGACGCATCACAGAACACATGTAATGTGTACTTGTTTCCCTCTTGACCTATTTGTCTGGGAAGTTTAATTTGATGAAGTTGTTTAAACTCCTTGGATATTTCATCCCATGCTTGACTCATTTCTAGAGGCAAGTTCTCATCCCATCCAATTTTGAGCTTCCATGCATCTTGCATAAGCATTTTACCCTTTATGGTAATTGGTGAGACGAGTCCTAGAGGATCAAAACATTGTGATACCTCTGACAGTAAACTACGTTTAGTGAGTGTACTGCATGATTTATTGTTTATCTTTTTGAGACTCAAAGTGTCTTCCTGTGTGTTCCAATTAAGTCCCAGCATATTGTTGCAATCAGGAATTTCAGTTTCAGGGAAATCTTCTTTAATAAGTTCCCTTAATTGTGTTGAATTTGTATTCCACATCCTTAGAGGCATATTTGCTTCTTTCATCTCCTTGTTAGCTTCTCTGTATAAGGATTTCAAATCCTCCTCTTTATTCACAGTACCTTGAAGATTGTCCACATAGAAACTTTTCTTTAAGATTTCTTTGAAGGGACTTTCAGATTTCTTCAAATGTGTATTTAGAGTAGCTTCTAGTAAGAATGGAGAGGATGTTGCACCAAATAATACTGATTTGAAACGATATGTTTTCACTTTGAGGATCATGTGGATTTTCTGGCCACAAGAATCGAGTACAATTTCTGTCTATTTCTTGTAAGCCTACTCTTAATTAAAAAAAACTTTGGAAATATCAGCCGTGTAGGCATATGGATTTGTGCGAAATTTCATAAGCACGTCTCCAAACTTCTCAGTTAACTTTGACCCCGAAACTCTCTCCAGGTATAAAACTGGACACTTCCAGATATATTTCCTCTTTACTTACCTTCTAGTGTAGCATTTCCCGATATATTTCTAACTGCCACTATTATATAGAGAAACATTCATGAACTCACCGGTTCGTATTATCCTTGTGCCGCCATCTTTGTTTCTCCTTGCGCTTCCCCCGCCTCGCTTGCCCACATTCATTTTAGAAAAATTATTAAAATTTTCTACACATCTATTACAAATATTAAATAGTAGTGGGAATGTAAATTTTAATTAAATTATAATAGCTTTAATCATCTGGTTGATGAGACAATAACATGACTCACGAAATCGTAATGACACGATTGCAAACAAACCATACCAAGGGCGGGGATAGAACCCGCGATCAGAGTCTCAAAACTCCAGACCGTCGCGTTAGCCACTGGACCAGCTAGCCACAATAAGATTCGTCCAACTAGGTATATTTCTACACCATAGGAAGGTTAGCACAGGCACCACTGTGACCACAAATGCAAGTTTTTTGTGGCTAGCTGGTCCAGTGGCTAACTCGACGGTCTGGAGTTTTGAGACACTCTGACCGCGGGTTCTATCCCCACCCGTGGTATGGTTTATTAGACAATAACATATAAACATTCATTAATATTGTTCACACATATGTATTTATAATTTATTTTTGGTCATGACTACCCAGGAGCGCTGACACTGGCGGTGTCCAGTGAAGCCTACGCTTGGCCGGTGACGGGGTCTGGAGAGCCTCTCTGGCCGGAGTTACAAGTAGCCTTTACTCCCTTTACTCTCGGTAGTGACTTCGGAATATTAAGCCCACACATTCTCGGCATCAAGAAAGATGTAAGTTTCCTTCTTTATACTCTTTCCTTGCATGTTTTATCACATTTTTTTAATCCCTCTTTCCCACCCTTTCATCGTTTTTTAAACTGAACTTTGTTTCATGTGATAAGTTACTTTAAGTCATAATTGTAATGTATTTTATTATTAGATTACATTAATTCTCTTTTTTTAATTCCAATACAGAGAAAAGGGCTTTAAACTTTATAAATATTGATTTACTATTAAGCAGAGTTCTCGAACAATTGTCATTATTTGTCAGTAAAAAAAATTGTTTCCAAGTTGGCCTATATCTGAAAAATAAAAATATTTCTGTCACTGCGCGATCCTAGAAAGGTGTCCCCTGTCTCACAACCCCAGCCCTCTGCGTCTCAGTGCACACGACTGGAACACTACAGAGTCCACACGACTGGAACACTACAGAGTTCACACGACTGAAACACTACAGAGTCCACACGACTGGAACACTACAGAGTCCACACGACTGGAACACTACAGAGTCCACACGACTGGAACACTACAGAGTCCACACGACTGGAACACTACAGAGTCCACACGACTGGAACACTACAGAGTCCACACGACTGGAACACTACAGAGTCCACACGACTGGAACACTACAGAATCCACACGACTGGAACACTACAGAGTCCACAGGACTGGAACACTACAGAGTCCACACGACTAAAACACTACAGAGTCCACACGACTGGAACACTACAGAGTCCACAGGACTGGAACACTACAGAGTCCACACGACTGGAACACTACAGAGTCCACACGACTGGAACACAACAGAGTCCACACGACTGGAACACTACAGAGTCCACACGACTGGAACACTACAGAGTCCACACGACTGGAACACTACAGAGTCCACACGACTGGAACACTACAGAGTCCACACGACTGGAACACTACAGAGTCCACACGACTGGAACACTACAGAGTCCACACGACTGGAACACTACAGAGTCCTGTATTAAGTGATAATATATTTAAATATTAGCTTTGAAGATTTGAAGGGAATCAGAAGAGACATTCACAACTCATCATTTGGAAGCTAATATCCAAATTTCTTCAATAAAAATTGTAAATTAGGTTACACACAGACCAAATCTAATTCAAACATTTCCTAGGGACCCTAGCTACCTAAAATAGGTTCCTAGGTTAACTAAATAAAATCAAATACTGTAAAACCAATTTAATTAATAAAATTGGCATATGATAAGTTACACAACTTAACATTAAAATATTGTTTCCCAAGAGGATAACACATCAGCACTAAAAGTTTCAAGCCGACCAGAAGATGCATTTTCCAGTTATTGCCCAGAATCCTTCAATTTTTTTTTGTCTACACAGCCTAAACCCACGAAACGTTCCAGTCGTTTGATACGAGTCATCAGCCACTGAAGAATAATGCCCTTCACAATTCTTATATTTTAATCAGAGGAAAGAGATAAACCCATAGCGGTTATATAGCGACTGTGGAATGAGAGGCTTTAAATTTAGTCAAAGCAGAGGAAGGTAAGTCAGGTTCCTTGTACATGTACATGTACAAGGTATATATACCTAGCTGACGTCAGTGATATATTACTATATAGAAAGCCCTTTGTTATGCTATTTCAGGCAAATTAGGTCAATTTTGTCCCAGGATGCGACCCACAACAGTCGATTAACACTCGGGTACCTATTTTACTGATAGATGAGCATAGACGTAAAGTGCCTTTAGGAAACACGTCCTAATGTTTCCAACCTTACCGGGGATCGACCCCCGGACCTCAGTGTGCGAGCTGAGTGAGCTAGCAATAGAGCTACGGGACATCAAGAGCCCTCACCAGCATCAAGACAAAATAAAGCATTAACCTAAACTAACAAAATAACAAACTAGTACCTACACACTCCATTCAAAATACCAACCTAAGGAGTGCACACCAGTGTTAAAATTTTGATGGTGATCAACGGGTCTGTGTCCACCCATCATACGGGAACAAAATTTAGGAATAGTTTATATATCATTGTTGATGGGACACCCACGCATGTAAATACTCCCTTGAATCTTACCCAAGATACAATGTTATGTAAATGGCTAAGAAATATAGCAGGTTGGCACCCACACAGCCCAAAATTTATACAAAAATATTACTTCCAGATATGATTCACCAGTGTTTAAGGTTTGAAGACATTCAGAAGAGGCATTCTCTAGAAATAACATTTGAAATAATTTACTCAATAAAACTGGCCAATAGAAATTTACATAACTCGCAATGAGTAACGAATTGTGTTTTTAGACAATACGTACATGGTGAAAGGTTGAAGCCGATCAGGAACAGCATTCTCCAGTAAATGATCTGATTCGAACAATTCAAAGTTTTTACTTATTGTTGTAAAATTTGACCCCTCAAGGAAGGTTCCTTGATGTTGGTGAGAGGCTCTTGATTTAGGGAATTGGATCTGTGCTCCAGTTCCCCGAATTAAGCCTGAATGCCTTCCACATCCCCCCCCCAGGCGCTGTATAATCCTCCGGGTTTAGCGCTTCCCCCTTGATTATAATAATAATAATGTTGTAAAATTTGAAAACTACACCAAATCAGACTAAACTTATGGGTTATCATCGTCGTTACACACTGCATCTTTATTTCTACAAGTACATGTACATGGTATACTAGTCTAGCTGACATTACTGACATACTGTATAAAAACCACTGGTTATGCAGAGTATTTCGGGCAAATTAGATTAGTTTTGTCCCCAGGATGCGACCCACACCAGACAGTTAACACCCAGGTACGTGTTTTACTGCTAAGTCATTTGACCATAAACAGAAATATTAATCTCAGTCTTAAAATAATGAATCCTGTGATACTCCAATACTGAAACTATATACTGTGCCAAAACAAAAGCATTCACATTGCTAAACTCACAAACTAGTATTTAGTCACTTAGCCATAATACCAACTTACCTCATAATTTGTAATATTTTACAATTAAGAATAAAACTAAGTATGCCCGAAATGCCTAGCCATGCTAAGCGTTCTAGTGGTACACTCTGTAATCACAATTTTACTACATGTAAACCAAACAATAACCAAATTTCTGTAAACTCAACATTGTAATCCTTATAGAGAATAAACTTTGAATTTGAATTTGAAAAAAGTGAACACGGACGGCAGGTACCTTAGGAAAACATGCTTAATACTTTCACTCTTACCGGGTTTCGAACCATTAAACTCAATATGTGAAATGAGTGCTCTACCAACCAGGCTACGAGACACATCGTTGAAGTTTATTTACTCTCCACCGTCGTCGAGTTTTTTGAGCATCATTTTCGAAAGTTAGAAGCTCCATCACAGAGGATTTTGAAGTTATTCAAGTCACTTCAGGATTCTGGGATTTGGTTCAACCAGTTTGATCATAAGTGAACATGCCAGGTATTACAAGAATTTGGTCCCCGTTACCGTAAGATAAGATAAGATTTCGTTCGGATTTTTAACCCCGGAGGGTTAGCCACCCAGGATAACCCAAGAAAGTCAGTGCGTCATCGAGGACTGTCTAACTTATTTCCATTGGGGTCCTTAATCTTGTTCCCCAGGATGCGACCCACACCAGTCGACTAACACCCAGGTACCTATTTGCTGCTAGGTGAACAGGACAACAGGTGTAAGGAAACGTGTCGGAATGTTTCCACCCACCGGGAATCGAACCCGGGCCCTCCGTGTGTGAAGCGGGAGCTTTAGCCACCAGGCCACCGGGCCACGCACCAGGCCACCAGGAAATAGTCCAAAAAATCGTAAAATTATTCTTTATTTCGATTATAAGTGTGATAAACTGGCGAACCTTTCTGAATAAATAATTTATTTTTCCATTCCTTAGTTCTTTTGTCTATTCCCTCTCCACAGCGGATATAAATTCACTTCCTGTTATTCAACTTCCTCCGTCAAACATAATTTGTTCTTTTAGAACTCCATTATCTTCTTAGCCAACAAACCTAATTTATTCTCTCCCCATCTCTCCATAATTCCTTCCCAGCTTTACCAACAATACTTCCATGATCTAGGAGGTCGGGAGGGGTTCTCCATAGGTCCTTTTGTGACCAGACCCAAGAGCAGAGGCTCCGTCACCCTCAACTCTGCCAACCCCCTGGACGCACCACTCATCGATACTAACTACTTCGATCATCCGGAAGACATTGCAGCCATGATCAGAGGTTAGTGCTGTGTGAAGACATTGCAACCATGATCAGAGGTTAGTACTGTGTGAAGACATTGCAGCCATGATCAGAGGTTAGTACTGTATGAAAACATTGCAGCCATGATCAGAGGTTAGTGCTGTGTGAAGACATTGCAGCCATGATCAGAGGTTAGTACTGTGTGAAGACATTGCAACCATGATCAGAGGTTAGTACTGTGTGAAGACATTGCAGCCATGATCAGAGGTTAGTACTGTGTGAAGACATTGCAGCCATGATCAGAGGTTAGTGCTGTGTGAAGACATTGCAGCCATGATCAGAGGTTAGTACTGTGTGAAGACATTGCAGCCATGATCAGAGGTTAGTGCTGTGTGAAGACATTGCAGCCATGATCAGAGGTTAGTACTGTGTGAAGACATTGCAGCCATGATCAGAGGTTAGTGCTGTGTGAAGACATTGCAGCCATGATCAGAGGTTAGTGCTGTGTGAAGACATTGCAGCCATGATCAGAGGTTAGTGCTGTGTGAAGACATTGCAGCCATGATCAGAGATTAGTGCTGTGTGAAGACATTGCAGCCATGATCAGAGGTTAGTGCTGTGTGAAGACATTGCAGCCATGATCAGAGGTTAGTGCTGTGTGAAGACATTGCAGCCATGATCAGAGGTTAGTGCTGTGTGAAGACATTGCAGCCATGATCAGAGGTTAGTGCTGTGTGAAGACATTGCAGCCATGATCAGGAGGTTAGTACTGTGTGAAGACATTGCAGCCATGATCAGAGGTTAGTGCTGTGTGAAGACATTGCAGCCATGATCAGAGGTTAGTACTGTGTGAAGACATTGCAGCCATGATCAGAGGTTAGTGCTGTGTGAAGAGTTGTTAATGGACAGGGAACCGAACATTCTAGGATATGATGAGACAGAGGAAGGTCACTGGAAACTCTTGAGATGGAGACAGTAGGTCAGTGGAATGTGATAAATAGTTTAGAAAACTGACAAGTTGAAGAATGAGACACTTATGCAACATTTGGGAGTCTTTACCGAGGAAACGTTTCGCCAGGCACTGGCTTCTTCAGTTCAATACAAAGAAAAGGCCTGGAAAAAGAGAGTGTGGTAATCAGTCCCATAGCCTGGAATCTATTCCAGGCTGAGGGACTGATTACCTGAAACTCCTACTCTTTTTCCTGTTTTCTTCTTTGCACTGGTCTGCAGAAGCTAATGACAGGAGAAACGTTATCTCAATAAAAATTCCGAATGTTGTACCAACCATCTCATACTTCAAACAGGTCAGAGGGATGTTGGATACTCTGCAGTGTTAAAGTGTTGCAATATTATTAAACGAAGTAGGAGGATGTTGTAAGATAGTCAGCGTGTGCAGACATATCTGAGAATAACACCATGTCTTGAGTGTTACTTAAAAACAAAATATTTATTGAAGAATAGAACATGCAGAAAATATTCGTATTTTCATCATATTTAAAGAAAGAAACTAAGATTTTATAAACATACAGAAAACTTTGGCCATTAAGATTAATTCCTAATATATTTTTAATAAACAATTCTTCCTCAGGGTTAAAGTTCTCCCTTAAACTTGCATCGATGCCAGCATTAAAGGAGGACTTCGATGCTGTGTTCCACGACCGTGTACTACCAGGGTGCGAGCACGAGGTTCTCTACTCGGACAAGTACTGGGAGTGCTACAGTAAAGTCCTCGTTGGTACCTTGTACCATCCCTGCGGCACCTGCAAGATGGGCCCAGACTCTGATACCTACAGCGTTCTTGACGAACAACTCAGGTGAGATGTAAGGAGAGATTATTATATACAAGGAGAAGCGCTAAACCCTTAAAGGTCATACAGAGCCTGAGAGAAACTCTAGGTAACCAAGTTTAATCAGAGGAAAGAGAGGATAGCCTCAATGCCTTAAGTCAGGAATCCTTCGTTAGCATCAAGGGAGTGGAAGAGCTAAAGATCAAAGATGGAGGGATTTAAAAATAAAAGATTAGGCAAAAACAGAGGATGGTAAAGAAAATAAATAATACTGTACATAGGTCTACAAAAAGATTGTACTTAGGGATTATTCTATGAAAATACTTAGAGAGGGTCATAGTGTGACCCTTTAAGGTTACACAGTGTATGGGAAATTGGAGAGGTGGGGATAATCAGATGTGACTCCGAGGAAGAGGGAAGGTAGCTCCAGTTCCTTGGATCAAAGCATCACTATGCAGTGGCAACGTAAGAGGAAGGCGGGCCGTCTCGGGTGACACCATAGAGCCTCTAAAGAAGGGGACATTAATGCCCAAAACAGTGCTGCAGCAACATTAGAGAAAAATTCTTTGTTTCCATATAGCCTATTATATGAATACAGAGTACAAATAGGCCTATACAGAGAAATTGGGAAAAACCGTAATCCACCTGGCATCATTATGATCAGTCATCAGTGACGCAACATTCTGTGTGTGCTGTACCACCCACGAGTGAGATTGGTCCAGGTGCGGGTTTATGTGTGTCTGCTGCACCACCCACGACTGAGTTTGGTCCAGGTGGTGGTGCATATGTGTCTGCTGCACCACCCACGAGTGAGTTTGGTCCAGGTGATGGTGTATATATGGCTGCTGCACCACCCATGAGTGAGTATCATTAAGGTAATGGTGTGTATGTGTCTACTGCACCACCCACGAGTGAGTTTGGGCCAGGTGATGGTGTATATGTGTCTGTTGCACCACACACGAGTGAGTCTGGTCCAGGTGGTGGTGTGTATGTGACTGCTGCACCACCCACGAGTGAGTTTCGTCCAGGTGGTGGTGTATATGTGCCTGCTGCACCACCGAGTGAGTTTGGTCCAGATGGTGGTGTATATGTGTCTGCTGCACCACCCATGAGTGAGTTTGGTCCAGGTGGTGGAGTATATGTGTCTGCTGCACCATCCACGAATGGGTTTGGTCCAGGTGGTGGTGTATATGTAGCTGCTGCACCACCCACGAGTGAGTTTGATCCAGGTGATATTGTATATGTATCTGCTGCACCACCCACGAGTGAGTTATGTCCAGGTGGTGGTGCATATATGGGTGCTGCACCACCCACGAGTAAGTTTGGTCCAGATAGTGGTGTATATGTGTCTGCTGCACCACCCATGAGCGAGTTTGGTCCAGGTGGTGGTGTATATGTGTCTGCTGAATCACCCACGAGTGAATTTGGTCCATGAGTGAGTTTGGTCCAGGTGGTGGTCTATACATTGCTGCTGCACCACCCACGAGTGAGTTTGGTCCAGGGGATGGTGTATATGTGGCTGATGCACCGCCCTAGTGAGTTTGGTCCAGGTGATGATGTATATGTGGCTGCTGCACCACCCGAGTGAGTTTGGTCCAGGTGGTGGTGTATATGTGGCTGCTGCACCACCCACGAGTGAGTTTGGTCCAGGTGATCGTGTGTGTGTGTCTGCTGCACCGCCCACGAGTGAGTTTGGTCCAGGTGGTGGTGTATATGTGGTTGCTCCACCACCAACGAGTGAGTTTAGTCCAGGTGGTGGTATATATGTGGCGGCTGCACCACCCACGAGTGAGTTTGATCCAGGTGATGGTGTAACCCACGATGAGTTTGGTACAGATATGGTGTATGTGTGTCTGCTGCATCACCCAGAGTGATTTTGGCCCCAGGTGAGGTTATAGTGTCCCTGCACCACCCACGGCGGTTTTTGGCCCAGTATTGTGTATTTTTGGGCGCTGCACCGCCTGAGTGATTTTGGTCCGGTGGGGGTGTATATGTGGCTGCTTGCACCCCCCACGGTGATTTTGGGGTCGGGGTGGGGGTGTATATGGGCTTCTCCACCTCCCCGATGATTTTGTCAGGTAATATGTAAATGTGCGGTCACCCCCCACGAGTGATTGGGCCCATTTGGGGGTGTATTTTTGGGGCTGCTGCACCACCCGCGAGTGATTTGGGCCCAGGTGGGGGATATTGTGTCGCTGCACCCCCCACATGAGTTTGATCCGGTGATGGGTATAGGGGCTGCGCACCACTCACGATGATTTTGATCCAGATGGGAGTAATGTGACTGTGTAACCCCCACAGTATTTGATCCGGGGTGATTGTGTAATAGGGGCTGCTGAACCCCCAGAGTGAGTATCATTAAGGTAAGGTGTGAGGGTGTCTACTGCACCACCCACGGTGAGTTTGGCCGGGTGAGGTGAATATATGGCTCTGCCCCCCCCATGAGTGATATCATTAAGGTAATGGTGTGTATGTGTCTTACGCACCACCCACGAGGTTTTTGGGCCCAGGGGGGTATTTGTTTTGTTGCCCACACACGGTGATCTTGTCCAGGTGGTGGTGTGTATGACTGCTGCCCCCACCCACGAGTGGTTTGGTTCCAGGGGGGTATAAGTGCCTGTGCCCCCCGAGTGGTTTGGTCCAATGGTGGTGAATATGTGTCTGCTGCACCACCCATGAGAGTTTGGTCCAGGGGGGGAGTATAGTGTCTGCACCATCCCGAAGGGGTTTGGTCCAGGGGGTGGTGTATATGTAGCTGCTGCACCCCCACAGGATTTGATCCAGTGTATTGTATATTATCGCGCACCACCCACGGTGGTTATGTCCAGGGGTGGTCAATATGGGTGCTGCACCCCCACGGTAATTTTGGTCCAAAAATAGTGGTGTATAGGTCTGCTGCACCACCCAGACGAGTTGGTCGGTACCACCTAGTTTACTCACCAATTGGGTTTTGCGGGGTGGGTCCGAGCTCCTGCCCCCCTCTTCACTGATCCTATAGGCCCTTCCCTGAGCCCTGAGCTTTAACGTACCTCTGTTAAAGCTATGTATGGGTCCCGCCTCCACTACATCGTTCCCAAACTATTCCACTTACGACTACTCTGTGGCTGAAGAAAAACTTTCCTAACATCCCTGTGATTCATCGGTCTTTAGCTCCAACTGTGTCCCCCCTTTTTACGTTTTCCAATTCTGGGAAAATCCGTTTTTGTCCACCTTGTCAATTCCTCTCGTATTTTGTATGTCGTTATCATGTCCCCCCTTCTCCCTTCCTCCAGTGTCGCAGGTTGATTTTCCCCTTAACCCCCCTCGTAGGACTCCCCTTAGCCTGGGACTAGTTTGTTGCAAACCTTTTCACTTTCTCTGTTTCTTTTTGTGCTTGGTAGGGGGGGTTCCAAACTGGGCCGCTACTCCAATATGGGCCAAGTATCGGTTACAGGGTCCCCAACGATTCCTTTTTAAGATGTCGGAAGGTTCTGAGGTTGCTAGGCCCATATGCTGCAGCTTATTTTGGGTTTATGTGCGCTTAGGGATGTGCCTGGGGTTTAACTACCCCAAAATCTTTTTTCCTTTTAGTGAGGTTTGTAGTCTTGCCCCCCCAATGTACTTTCCCTTTGCGGGCCCTTTTTTGGGCCCTTCCCCCAAACTTCATGATTTGCACTTGGTGGGATTGAACTCCAGGAGCCAATTGCTGGACCAGTTCTGCAGCCTGTCCAGATCCCTTTGTAGTTCTGCCTGGTCTTCGATCGAGTGTATTCTTCTCATCAACTTCACGTCATCTGCAAACAGGGACACCTCAGAGTCTATTCCTTCCGTCATGTCGTTCACAAATACCAGAAACAGCACTGGTCCTAGGACTGACCCCTGCGGGACCCCGCTGGTCACAGGTGCCCACTCTGACACCTCGCCACGTACCATGACTCGCTGCTGTCTTCCTGACAAGTATTCCCTGATCCATTGTAGTGCCTTCCCTGTTATCCCTGCTTGGTCCTCCAGTTTTTGCACCAATCTCTTTGTGTGGAACTGTGTCAAACGCCTTCTTGCAGTCCAAGAAAATGCAATCCACCCACCCCTCTCTCTCTTGTCTTACTGCTGTCACCATGTCATAGAACTCCAGTAGGTTTGTGACACAGGATTTCCCGTCCCTGAAACCATGCTGGCTGCTGTTGATGAGATCATTCCTTTCTAGGTGTTCCACCACTCTTCTCCTGATAATCTTCTCCATGATTTTGCATACTATACATGTCAGTGACACTGGTCTGTAGTTTAATGCTTCATGTCTGTCTCCTTTTTTAAAGATTGGGACTACATTTGCTGTCTTCCATGCCTCAGGCAATCTCCCTGTTTCGATAGATGTATTGAATATTGTTGTTAGGGGTACACATAGCGCCTCTGCTCCCTCTCTCAATACCCATGGGGAGATGTTATCTGGCCCCATTGCCTTTGAGGTATCTAGCTCACTCAGAAGCCTCTTCACTCTTCCTCGGTTGTGTGCACTGTGTCCAGCACTTGGTGGTGTGCCCCACCTCTCCGTCTTTCTGGAGTCCCTTCTGTCTCCTCTGTGAACACTTCTTTGAATCTCTTGTTGAGTTCTTCACATACTTCCCGTCATTTCCTGTTGTCTCTCCTCCTTCCTTCCTTAGCCTGATTACCTGGTCCTTGACTGTTGTTTTCCTCCTGATGTGCTGTACAACATTTTTTTCGGGTCAGATTTGGCTTTCGCTGCTATGTCATTTTCATATTGTCTTTGGCCTCCCTTCTTATCTGTGCATATTCATTTCTGGCCTTACGACTGTTCTCCTTATTCTCCTGGGTCCTTTGCCTTCTATATTTCCTTCCATTCCCTAGCACACTTGTTTTTTGGGCCTCCCTGCACCTTTGGGTAAACCATGGGCTCATCCTGGCTTTTTCATTACTCCTGTTACCCTTGGGTACAAACCTCTCCTCAGCCTCCTTGCATTTTATTGCTACATATTCCATCATCTCATTAACTGGTTTCCCTGCCAGTTCTCTGTCCCACTGAACCCCGTTCA